TCATTAACCATTACACGTACAGTATCGTGGTTTGAATCAACATTATCAGCAGACATGTCTGTTTCCAAACCATCCATGCGTTTTACTTGTGTTTTCACGTCAATCTCTTCAAGTTTCTCCACTATTTGCTGAAAAGAATCCATACTGCTGGTATCGGGAGAATCAGTATCAATGGTAAGCTGAGGAAAGTCTCTTCATGAACTCTGACCCTGGTGATCATTTGGTTTCTTGATATCGAAGCGTGTATTCTGGTAGGGATTTTATTGAGTCGAGTATTTTATTTTATGTTTATTTTTTTTTTTTTGGTTTTCAATTTAGACATCCACTTTGCCGTTTAGATTTGTGCAAGCCGTGTGGCAGGATATAATAATCTTGAACAATGATAATGCTTTAATTTTGACATGTTCAAGGGAAAAAAAAAATTACTGACGACAGTTCAAAACCAACAGTCAGAGGACTGTCCAAAATATAACACAGAAAGGTAGCAGGTAAAACCCAGCAGTCGAAATAAGACGATCGTGCTCAAATGTTAAAGGGCGATACTAGTGATGAATCGGGAAATATTAATTGTTGAGTATTTCTGGGTTTCGATACATAATATTATATGTCTTCGAAAAACGTTTCTTTATTTAAATTTAAATAAATAAGAATGAATCATTAAAAGATTGAAAATTGTGTGCACTAATATATTTTTTAACCCTATGAATGGATAAAATTCGTTTGTAAGGTTTTTATTTTCCACAATTTCTTAAACTTAAAATTGCCCGACCACACCGTATTGGGTTTCAATGGAAAGCCCTATTTCTCAGAATTAAGATAAATATAACCTCATGTCGCTTAGAAAGTTAACGAACACTTCAATCAGCGTTGAATAATGACTGTGTTTTTCTGACCTAAACAAAGGGCCATCTCATTTCCGACGCATCGACCTTGAACTTTTAATACAGCACGCATTTGGATTGGTTACATTTGTTAAAAATGTAGGTGTGATCGGTTATCCTTTTACGAATCTCGGTTGTGTGCGATCAGTGTGCCCTGTAAATGTGAAATTTTTCATTTGGGTCTCACCCCTAAAATGGTGTCACCCGGTGAGGTCCAACCTCCCCCCCCCCGCGCAACCCCCTCGCTAGGCCACTGAGTTATAGTAATAGCGGGGAACAACCACGCCGTATACCCCCCCCCCCAAAAGCTACAATTTAAAAAACAAAACAATTTAAGTCACTCAATANTCAATGACACCATGACTCCTAGACTCAATGACACCATGACTCCATGATTCAATGACACCATGACTCCTAGACTCAATGACACCATGACTCCTAGACTCAATGACACCATGACTCCTAGACTCAATGACACCATGACTCCATGACTCAATGACACCATGACTCCTAGACTCAATGACACCATGACTCCTAGACTCAATGACACCATGACTCCATGACTCAATGACACCATGACTCCATGACTCAATGACACCATGACTCCTAGACTCAATGACACCATGACTCCATGATTCAATGACACCATGACTCCATGATTCAATGACACCATGACTCCTAGACTCAATGACACCATGACTCCATGATTCAATGACACCATGACTCCATGACTCAATGACACCATGACTCCTAGACTCAATGACACCATGACTCCTAGACTCAATGACACCATGACTCCATGATTCAATGACACCATGACTCCTAGACTCAATGACACCATGACTCCTAGACTCAATGCCGTATACCCCCCCCCCCCAAAAGCTACAATTTAAAAAACAAAACAATTTAAGTCACTCAATAACTGAGATTCAGCTGACTCCATGACTCCATGACTCCAAAGACTCCAAGACTCAATGACTCAGTGACTCCATGACTCCATGGCTCAACCACTCCATGACTCTATGGCTATATGACACCATGACTCAATGACACCATGACTCAATGACACCATGACTCAATGACACCATGACTCAATGACACCATGACTCAATGACACCATGACTAAATGACACCATGACTCCAAGACTCAATGACGCCATGACTCCAAGACTCAATGACTCCATGACTCCAAGACTCATGACACCATGACTCCGTGGCTCAATGACACCATGACTCCATGACACAATGACTCGATGAGTCAATGACACCATGACTCCATGACTCAATGAAACCATGACTCCTTGACTCAATGACACCATGACTCCATGACTCAATGACACCATGACTATATGACTCAATGACACCATGACTCCATGACTCAAAGACATCATGACTACATGACTCAATGACACCATGACTCCAAGACTCAATGCCACCATGACTCCAAGACTCAAGACACACTGACTCCATGACTCAATGATACCATGACTACCTGACTCAATGACAGCATGACTCTATGACTTAATGACACCATGACTCCAATACTTAATGACACCATGACTCCAAGACTCAAGACACCATGACTCCAAGACTCAATGACACCATGACTACATGACTCAATGACAACATGACTGCATGACTCAATGACACCTTGACACCAAGACTCATGACACCATGACTCAATGATTTAATGACACCATAACTCTATGACTCAATGACACCATGACTCCAAGACGCAAGACACCATGACTCCAAGACTCAATGACACCATTATTCCTTGACTCAATGACACCATGACTACATGACTCAATGACAACATGACTGCATGAGTCAATGACACCATGACTACATAACTCAATGACACCTTGACACCAAGACTCATAACACCATGACTTAATGACACCATAACGCCATGACTCAATGACACCATGACTCCATGATTCAATGACACCATGACTCCTAGACTCAATGACACCATGACTCCTAGACTCACTGACACCATGACTCCTAGACTCAATGACACCATGACTCCTAGACTCAATGACACCATGACTCCATGATTCAATGACACCATGACTCCATGACTCAATGACACCATGACTCCTAGACTCAATGACACCATGACTCCATGATTCAATGACACCATGACTCCATGACTCAATGACACCATGACTCCTAGACTCAATGACACCATGACTCCTAGACTCAATGACACCATGACTCCATGATTCAATGACACCATGACTCCTAGACTCAATGACACCATGACTCCTAGACTCAATGACACCATGACTCCTAGACTCAATGACACCATGACTCCTAGACTCAATGACACCATGACTCCTAGACTCAATGACACCATGACTCCATGATTCTGGTTCCGTTATTCAAACTATGGTTTACACGCTCACCCGTTTAAAATCGCTTTTTAAAAAAAAAATGATCTCTTGACATGAAAGATCTGACGTGAATGTAGTGTCAACAAATGTTGACTTGTGACGTGAAGCTCTTCGTGGTAGCAATAGTGAGTGGTTAATTCCATTGCAACAGTCAGTGGTATGAAAATTTTGGTTTTGTTTGCTTTGATGCCAATAAATAAACTGAAGAACAACAGGGAAATTATCGCAACCTGCTCCATTTATTTTATTTTTATAAATGCAATCTAAAGATTTGTGAATGTTATCTTTTTATACACAGGCTAAAATGTTGGACGCATTGTTCTGACTTCATTATCATTCAATACATGGTTATAATTTGCAAATGTTTTTTTTTTTATCGTTAAATTAAATATTTCGTAGCAAATTTTAAATCCAGAATAACTCTCCCATACTTTGAAAGTCATGGTTTAATATTTGACTCAAATGTGCAGCATTGACGTAAACAGAGAATCGGCAGAATCTATCTGATGGAAAAATGTGTTCTTCTTTTTTTCAGATGGACACCAACACTGACATCATGATGTTGAGCCCTTGGGTGCATCATCCCTTAGCTACCACCCAACACCTTTCTTTCGAAGCCACGGGAACCATCCCGCGAAGATCGTACCACCACTTGGTTCAGGACACCCTCCGACAACACCATCTACTGCAGCACCCACTTCAAGGTGACACCGGCATCGTGATCCCACGCGGTCTGGTCCTCAAGCCGATAGCCATCCGCCTCTCCGATGTTTACTCTTCGGTCCCTCTCACCGTAAGTTTGCTTGAAAGCCAAGTGACGCCTGAATACATCTCAAGATTCCGGGGCTTGGAGGAAAGATCGGGCGAGCACAAGTACTCGCAGTTTTGTCTCGGCGGTGAGCCGTTCCGAGGATTGTCCCCCACGGCTTTGCGGAAAGCAGAAATGAACAAGAGGGTGCTTTTCCCTTTCCCGCAGAGGCAGTCCAGCACAGACCGGATGAACGACATCTTTAGGGAACTCTTAAACATGCGACTCGGCTTCCTGCACCACAAAGAGGCGTGTGTGGGCGCGGAAAAAGGTTTTGCACGCGGAACCAGATCTGATGTTTTTAGAACGTCTTCTGAATGCGCGCCACGTCACGGAGACGACGGCGTCGTTTTTAATAGCAGCAGACCTATTGGCAGTGACGTCACACCTGACAGCATCTCGAGTTCGCGGAAACACGTGTATCTGAATCAGCCAATCACTGACGAGAATAATGGGATCGCGCCGTTCTTCAACGCCCCCATACAACCTTCACATTCATTGGAAACTTTGAACACGGATGAGACGAAAAAATCCAATAAAAGATTTCTAACACCCGTTTCCAGTGTAAACAAATTTATGAAAAAGCGCAAGCCTTTGGTCGAAGGTCTTCTTTTGGACAACCAAAACAAGAAGGCTTGTGAACACCTAGAATCGTCAGTCTTGAGTTTTCAAATACCCACGTCTGAAAAAAATCGAGAAAGTGTAGTGAGAGGAAATGTGCTACCTGTGAGCGCGGAACAACTTGCAATGACAGGCGATGAAATTTTAGACTCTAAAAATGGTTTCAAGGGTGACAATTTTTCAGCTAGAAAGATGGCAAAACCGGACAAATGTAACATACGAGGAAAAATCCAGTCTGCCAAAGGTGCTAAACCACTTCGTTTGATTTCGTCGGTGAAAAGTTTGTCAGCGGACAGGAAGTCATTTCAATGTCCCCAGTGCCGCTACCTGACAGACCGGAAGAACAACCTGAAGCGTCACGTGATCACCATGCACCAGGTCAGCGCCAAGATGCTGGAGTGCTGCGGTGTGGCCTTCCAGAGCAAGGCGTCGCTCCGCGACCACAACGCCGTGTTCCACAGGGGAGGCTACCGGTGTCAGATATGCTCGAGGAACTTCTGCAGGAAGGCTCTCCTTCGTCGACATCTGACCGTGCACAGCGGTCAGAAAGACTTCTTCTGCGACCTGTGCGGTTACGCCACCAGTCACAAGAGTAACCTGGAGAGGCATCAGAAGGTCCACAGCAAGAGAGAGGTATCAAATCCTGTGGATAAGCGAGACTTCTATCAGAGGCGTAAAGCATCAAAGTCTTGTCTTAGAAGTCCCGGGGTCTATTCGGACGCCAGCTCAATACCTCGAAGGCCAGATGCTCAAAAAATGTCCCCCGATGTCGTAGAGGATGTATCTTCCAATGATGAATCTTGGACCAGAAGGGACACACATTTGAAAAGGTCCCGAGGAACCATCACGACACCAGTGTATCCGCGTAAAGACAGGGTGGTAGAAGGTGACGTTGTTCAATCTAACTTAGTAGACACCACTACGGGAATGCAGTTGTAAATATTAAGATTTGAATGACACATCAGACAAGGAAAAGAAATTTTGAAATCGTCATCAATGAGATCACTAATGATGAATGAAATTTGAAATCCGTCGATAATTTCCAAGATGAGTACTTCGAAGTGAGGACAATGTGGATAAATTATCGTCGACGGTCTTTTCAGACTCCAGGATTGGCTGCAGCTGCACCTAACAAAGATATAAACTAATCATAAGCGTTTTGCTTGTCTTAATAAATCTGACTCATACAGTGCCAAAAAAAAAAAAATCCGATAATTTTTTACTTCTAACATTGCTAAATAATAAATTTTATTAAACATTAAATTTTAAATACATATACATAAAATATGTATAATTACTTTGAAACTCGAATATATGTATATATATTTAAATTAACACTACATGTACTAAAAATATTTAAGACACTTAAATTCTTGTTTTCATCCCCAATCTGTCGTTATATATTCAAGGTTCATTTGTAATCAAGTTCAAAGGTATTCTTAGGCTTTAAGTCAGTATTTCCCAAACTACTTTTGCCCCCCTTCCTCCCCCCCCCCCACGTCCAACCCGAGCACGCAGGAAGGTTTAACGCCCCCTCTAGTCCTGTCTTACATTTCCCCCTGCCCCATCCCTTCAAATTTAAATATATTTTAACCATAATCTTCAAATCGACTATTCCCTCCTCCCCCCCCAGAGGTTGGGGGGGGGGGGGGGTCCCCCATCCCCCCCACGTTGAGAACCACTGAATTCGGTTGTTTGTAAAAAAAAAAAAGAAAACAAATTCAGAAAGCGCAACTGTTTTATTTTATTCTAAATTTCCAAAGCTCTTCTCGATGACGTCACATTTCAGAAGAGGATTGAAATAAACAAAATGTAATCTATATTTCATATAATCGCTTTTTTTTTTAATATACATATATTTTTTTTAACGCACAGATGAGTAACTTCCTTACAAGATCGTACCTATCAAAAAATGGTTTATGTTGAATTATTCTGACATATTTGTTGTTGTTTTTAAACAAAAATAAAACATTTTTTTTAAACATGATCCTATAGTTTGGAAGTTTACGAACAGGACTGAAAAGTTAGTGTCCGAGGGGAGACAACAAGTCCACACTGGCTGGCTGATGTGACAAGGGTTTTGGGGGGTTAGTTTCGGAACTTGACTTGATAGTTCATCGTACTGACGCCCTGAGAAATGGATTGTTACTGGATCGTGTCTTGTTTAAATAAATCCCATGATCACACCTAATACTGCAACAGTAATCTTTTTTTTTAAAATACAACAACACTTTTTTTTAAAATCGAAGTTTTATCATTTTAATTAAACATGCCTAAAAATTAATAATTTTTGCGAAGGGGGCGCTCATTTTAAGCGCACCCTTTCTGTTTACAACAAATCCTACTAACCCCACCCCCCCCCAATCCTATACAAGCAAAATCCCCACCCCAGTTTAGCGCACTCAGATATCTTTATGGATTCCTCACAAATCATCTTTAATTTATTTCTCATAGATTTGTATCTGCCTTTTCAAATTTAAAACCCTACATAAACGGTTATTTTATGTAATGTGTACGCCATTCTTAATTTTTTCCGAACTTGTGACGTAATATGGATCACAGAAATCCAACAAACCACATCCTTCAACCAAAACCCTTGTTGGGCAGGTCCTCCCTAGTGCCAACACTCAGTACATTATACAAGAAATCTTAGCCATATTACTTTTCTCCCATTAGTGATCACGTAGTATTCATATCTGTGACAATGTATTATATAGATGTATATATGCTTGTAATAGTTGATAGCCACACATCCTCTCTCACATTCAAACGATCAATTACATTGCAGCAAGTTGAGCTCAAGGCGGTTCATGTCACAGTCAGCTCAACACTAAAAAATGAGCAAGGGATGTGGTCTCAGAAATTTTTAGAGGAATCTCGGTAGCGATATTAATTTTCAGTTCCGTTGGGCAATAAGACTTCCACCTTCAGCAGACTTCAACTTTCAGCAAACGACCGCCTTCAGCAGATCTCCACCTTCAGCAGACTTCAACTTTCAGCAAACGACCGCCTTCAGCAGATCTCCACCTTCAGCAGACTTCAACTTTCAGCAAACGACCGCCTTCAGCAGATCTCCACCTTCAGCAGACTTCAACTTTCAGCAAACGACCGCCTTCAGCAGATCTCCACCTTCAGCAGATTTCAACTTTCAGCAAACGACCGCCTTCAGCAGATTTCCACCTTCAGCAGACTTTGGCCTTCAGAACACCTCCGCGCACCCACCAACTATCAAGTCATTCAAATAAATTGCTCAAGTCACCAAAGCAGTCTCCCAAATTGTTTTATATTCCACGCCCCCTTCGAATTACTTGACCAATTCTCGCTCCCCATACGAATTATTTGACAAAAATTTCGCACTACGTTGCCATTTGTCATCCATCATCTTGAAAAATGTCTAAAAATTAGTGTATCCAATTTAAAAAAGGCAAGGATTTATGTTTTTCATCAACCGTGTCAGAATACATAAAATTTTTTGCCCGAATGTGAGATTGTCATAGTTTCATTTCGAACGCTGTTATAGCTAGTAGCATTGTATTATGATCAGTTGGTCTTCATCCAGAAGCCACATGCCCAACTCATTAAAATGTATGGTCAAGTCTTCTAAAAAAAATACCAAAAATCTCTGACCAGGTTTCCATCGTCAAATTTTGGAACAAATTTTATTTTTGAATTTACTGTCAACTTTATTTCCTTTCGCTAAACTTAAATCTTTACAACAATCTACTTCTATAACAATCTACCTTTATAACAATCTACCTTTATAACAATCTACCTTTATAACAATCTACTTCTATAACAATCTACCTTTATAACAATCTACTTCTATAACAATCTACCTTTATAACAATCTACCTTTATAACAATCTACTTTTATAACAATCTACCTTTATAACAATCTACTTAAATCTAACTTTATAACAATCTACCTTTATAACAATCTACCTTTATAACAATCTACTTCTATAACAATCTACCTTTATAACAATCTACCTTTACAACAATCTACTTCTATAACAATCTTACTCCCGAAACTTTAAGGGCGTCTCCGTAGTCAGCAAACATGAATTGAAGGCATCCCTGGAATCGGCGATAGTTCATTCCCCTGGTCCTTATGGTGCTAGTTGGCTGAGTAGTATATACTGAGTCAATCGCAAGTCAGTTGCCTCAAAGTTCGATCACCAGTACCCCTTGTGGATGGTACTCGCTAACCTTGGGAGGCAAAATCTGAAATCAAACCCGGAGATGGAGTCCCGTAGGCGGTATGATACAATGAAAATTTCAGACTAATACTTCGACGAGTATTTCCAGTCATCTTGCCATTGGAACAAATAGGCAAGGACGAGAGAGTGAGGCTGTCGAACTGAGCAACTCTCCCTCACTTTAAAATAAAATACAGTTCAAGTCAAGACTGCAACTTGAGTTGGAGCCTTGGTCATCTTCGCATGCGAAGGACGAACAATAGATATGAAATTTATAGCCTTGATGACAGCCTGCATGACGTTCTCCTTCTGGAAAACTTGCGTATAAATGTTCTTGGTGAGCTATGCAAATATGTTCATCATAGATACATTTATGGGTGTCAAATCTATCGCATTCCATTAATTTTACAAGTGAATCTCTCTTATCTATCATCACTGGACACCATCGATAACCTTATCAGATGTATTCACAATGAACAAGGAAAGTCGATTTAATGTTTTTTTAAGTCCATAAGATGACCAAGACATTAAGAGTTATAGAAACTGTTTTTAACAAGCGTGTCTTACCGGATATAACGCAACAAAAATTTCCGAACAATCCTGCGACGAGCTCAGTGCTGGTCATCTATCTTTGTCTTACCCAGTAAGGCAGGCCTGCACAACATACGGCCCTCGGGCCGCATGCAGCCCGCCAACAACCTCTTTGTAACGAAATATTCTTTATTTTTATTATTTTCTTGATATCTTTTCCCTTGTCCTATTTTTTTTTTTGGCCAGCACAAGTTTTTTTTTATGGCTGCACCTATAGGTACCCGGGTACTTATAGCAACAAATAACTATTTGGACCCGGATAGGCTCCATATAGATTAAATGGTTTCGGAGCCGGGTGTGATAACAATAATAGTATGAGAATTTTTTTTTAAAAGTGTTTTTTCTCCTTATTTCATAGATTCATATTTTTATTCTTTATGGTTGTTTTTATTTCTTATTGCAGGTAGTTGTTTTTTCTTTCTAATTTTATTTTTTTGTTTAAGCCATTTTCGTAGATCATTTTTTTTTTTAAATATAGTAATCAAGATGATTTAGATACATTTATTGTTTTCATTTGAATTTTAGAAAAGTGATAATATTAATTTAATTATTAATGGACCACGTTATAGAATTTCACCAACAACAGAGAGTGACCAATGTCCAAGCGTTGGTTGATGTGTTACGTGTCCTCATAATGAGTAGATCTGGGAAACGTTACGAGCGGACCAGGGATTATGTTGCGATATGTTAACTAGAGAGTTGTGCTACCCACTAACACTGAGTTTAAAAAAAAAAAAAACTCTTCAGCTCGCCGAAAATGCCACCCTTCATTATAATTTTTTTTTTTTTTAAAGTGCACTGGGCGAATGCACCCCCTGATATTGAGGTCCTTTG